GTTTATAGACTCTCTAACCTCCACACACACTAAATAATATACACATATTTGTCTTTAAACCAAAGAAATGTAACAGAATACATTTTGGTCTGAATTTATAAAGAAATATATTTATTTGCAAAATGTTATAGCAGAAATTAAGGGAAACTGTCTTTTTTTCCCCTTTATATATTTATATGCAGTGATATACAATGTATGTGGGTACAGTGTTACATGAGCAAGTAATTGTTAGCCAAAGTATCAAAATGCTGAAAACTAAAAAATGGCTTGTCTTCAAGTGGTTAATAGGGAAGAAAACACGAGAGGAGACTGAATGATCTACATACAGTAATTAATTTTTACTCATCAAATTAAATAAGCAGAAGCACACACATTTTCTCCCAAATGTATTTAAATCTATTCTGAAAAATTCACTATGGAGCTCATAATGCATTTCAAGAAAACACATAACTTGAAAAATCCTAATTTTAGCATTTTAAAATATGTTTGCCTTGGCAAATAATTCATGTGGAAAATGCACTGCTGCAGTTACAAGCTATCTTCATAAAATCATCATCCTCTTGTCCTCAAGAAATCTTTTTTAGCAACATTAACAATCACAAAGTAAAAAAATGCACACTGTGTACCAAATATGCATGTCCTAATTTCTCACCTCTTGTGTTCTACAAGAAATATTTTTATCATTATACTTTCAATTATTTAGGCCCTATTATAAATTTATCTACTCCCAGACAGGTTCCCATTCTGGGATGATGTCAAAGCTGAGCTCATTGCAAACAGCCAAATGCACAGATGAAAAATATATATAATGGAGCAGTTTTACCTGCTGAAAAGTTTTTATTTCTGTCTATCCAATTTTGAGATTTACACAGCCCGTCCACACAGCATAGTCAGACGGCTTGCCTTATTTTATCTGTTTTCAGCTGAAGAAGGAATACAGTGCCTCCAGCCTGCTGATGGGCCATGGAGAAGCAGTGGCAGACTAATCATCCTGCTCTCTTTTCCGATTCTTGATATTACATCTGACTGGCTTGCAGTCCAGCCTCTATCCCTCTTTAGGAGTGCTACTATATAGGAAACTTAAAAAGGCTAAAGTAAAGTCAAATTCGAAAGTGTACACTAGATGCAATAAAAAAAAATAAGAAAAGAAAAGGGGGATTTAATATATGGATTGTGGCAGGGGAAACATTTTTATACAGTGGAGAAACCACCAGAAGGTCAGCAGGCGTTTAGTCCCCCCTTTTGGTATGAGGTTGAAGAAAAACCATTAAAAGTTTCAAGCCCCCCATTAGCCTTTAATATAATGGGAAAGTTTCTAGAAAATGGGAGTTTTAGGCCCCCCACTGCACCTGGGAAGCAGACACCTGGGAGGCATCTCTGTGGTGCTCCCCTCCCACCCACCCTTTTTTGTTGTTGCAGCCAATTATTGGTGAAGTCACCTTTCTTCAAATGAGAATGAGTAAGTGAGTATGTTAAATTGAACTGAGATGGATCAATAGATAGGTATGGTTAATAGGTTGTTGTTTTTATTATGTACAGCTTGAGTTGTAGTGACTAAGCTGGAGTACTGTAATGATACTTTAAGAAAAACATGTTGAAAATATTAATATTGATTTAATATGTACAAATAAAGAGTTATTATAAAAAATTATACTTATATTTATACCAATAATAAAACGGCTGTGGCCAAGTTATTACCAAAAAATTTAAATAGCCTTAGTTTAAATTAAAAGATAATAGATTTATTTGGACCATGTTATATGTCACACACCTATTTAGGGTGTAACATTGTGCAAATCAGACCAGCAGATCCGCTTTGCGGAGTCCTCCTGTGTGAAAGGGCCCTTATATGTTAAAAATGTTTATATTTTCTTAATTTTTTTTTTTTTAAGATTCTAGGTCAGCAAAAAGAGTATTTAGACACTCTTAAAAGAGGAGAAGGCTATCACATGCAAGAAGGATGCTATGCTAGGGAATTGCCTTGGAGTAGTCAGATTTCATTGGCACATTGAAAATGAATAAAAATCAATTAATGGAAAGCAAAACTGCATCACTTTAAGATAGTGTGATATTTTTTATACAATTAATCCATTATATCTATTACAGCATAACCACTACATAATGTTATTTGGTGTACTTATAAGTTCAATGTTCCACAGTTCTTACGTCACACATTAGGCATGACTATTTCAGTATTCTATATAATTACATTCTTCTGTGTGGCAATGTAAACACTGTATATCTTTGTATTGGTTTTTAATGTAAACGTAAGCAAAAATATACACTATATTTTTTCTTTAATAAACATTAATGTTACCTTGCATGATGTCCTGTGAAAAAGAAAGATTAATCTACCTTTTGTTATGCAATGAGCAGTGCACATGACAGACTGCTGCTTGTTTCGTGTACATGCTGTCACTGACAGCTGCCTGGGAAGACCAGAACTATTTATAGTACTTTCTGATGATGCTATCACCATATCGGTAATGACATCATGATCCCATGACTTTCTTTATAAACAGCTGTCACTGACAGTGACAACTGCTAGTGTAGTTCTTTCTGTATGCACTTGCTAGCACATAGAAACACTTTTTTTAAACCCCTTCCAGACCCATCACTTTTAACCAGTTGCCTACCTTTGGCCTGTTACACACGTCCATAAAATCTCCTCCTCTGTACACAAGGCATGTAAGTCCAAGAGACTGCTTGCAGTTTCTTATCTCCCCTGCTTGCTCCTGTGCATAGTCCCCCTGAGACCCATCATCTGTAGAAAGAGGAGATCCCAATCCTACAACTGGTAGCCAGTCTGAAACCTTCCTCATTGAATGATCACTGTGACAGCCAATCACAGTGACCATTCAGTGTAAACAATAACAAAAAAAACAGGGGCTGTCTTATCTCCTCAATTCCCTGACAGACAGTGACCTGTGAGTGAGAGAGCTGCAGCTAACACAGAAGAATGTTTATTGCGCACCCATGGAATTAGTTAACCCTTAATTAACCTGGATATGCTCTTATTTTACCTTTATTCTACTATTTAACCCATTAATTTCAGTAGATCATCCTGTATAAACACTATTTGTAATAGTTTAATCTCTTGTTCCATGTTTCCATTTTAAATTATTTGTTAAAAAAAATAGAATACTGTTTAAATTACCAATGCATTATAAGAAAAATGAAATATGTGCAAAAAGTTAAAAAAAAAAAAAAAATAACGTAAATAACTTTAACATGCTTTGTATCAAAAATGTAATTTTAATGTTGCAGTGAATAGAACAAGCAGCAGAATAAAATGTACAGTATATGTTTTCTCCACAGCAATGGTACTTGTTCAAAATATTGCTGATCAAACTTACAATTTTTTTTTTTCTATTTTTTGCACATTTTTACTTTTTCTTTATTCCCCTTAAAATTCAAATATATGTAAAAAAATTTTAGAAGACCTTAGGATTACAAGAAAGTCCCATTTGTTCTCAGAAAATGATGTAAGTATCAAATCTGTATCATAAGTAATTACAAAGCTATAGACTCATGAATAGACACACAATGGAAATGTGAAAACATGGTCTGGTCCATAGGGGGTAAACAGGTGTGAGAGCTGAAGTGGTAAAATTATTGACCTCCTGGAATGCACTCCATGCTGGGGGGTTGTTAATGAACTACTTTTGAGCTGCTTGCCCGCAATGTACTGCGGACGAGTGGCAGCTACAGGACCAGCGACGTACTCGTATGTCGCTGGTCCTTTGTTAACATAGGGGGGTGCTACGCACCCAAACGGGCACACAACCCTACCCCTCATGTCTCCTGTGTCCACTGGACACAACAGAATAAGAATCCTGGTAATCATGTGATCGCTATGCGGTCACATGATCACAATGGCAACAAATCTTTAATGAATCAATCTGATTCATAAAAGCTTTGCTTCTGTTCCTGTTGAGCTGTGATTGGTCCACATGGGGCCAATCATAGCACCTGTACCATGTGACCAGATGGAACCAATCACAAATCTCTATTACATTGAACTGTCATGAACACATTCATGACAGTTCAAAGCACGATTTTGCAAAGTGTGAAAAAACCTAACCCTGGACATGCTCAAAGCAGAGCATTTTGGGTGTTTTTCAGGTGTTACTACTCCACCCACTCTTTATTGTACCCAAAATAATTATTTAGACATATAGAACTTTCTTTTGGTGGTCTTTAACCACTTGCCCTCCAGAGGATTTACCCCCCTTCCTGACCAGGCCACTTTTTGCGTTACGGTGCTGCGTTACTTTAACTGACAATTGTGCAGTCATGCAATGCTACACCCACATGAAATTTCCATCCATTTTTCCAATGAATAGAGCTTTCTTTTGGTGGCATTTGATCGCCTGTGTGTTTTTTATTTTTTTGCGCTATAAAAAAAAGACCGACAATTTTGAGAAAAAACAATATTTTTGACTTTTTGCTATTAACCACTAGCCTACAGGGCACTTATACCCCCTTCCTGCCCAAGCCAGTTGTCAGCTTTCAGTGCTGTTGCACTTTGAATGGAAATTGAGCGGTCATGCAACACTGTACCCATATTACATTTTTATTATTTTTTTGAGACAGATACAGCTTTCTTTTGGTGGTATTTAATCAACTATTGGTTTTTTATTTTTTGCTAAACAAACCAAAAACATCGGAACATTTTGAAAATTAAATGTTTATTTTCTAAGTTTTTGTTATAAAATTTTGTAAATAAGTGATTTTTCTCCTTCAGTAATGTTTGCTAATGAGGCTGCAGTGATGGACACTGATAGACTGTACTGATGGGCACTGATAGGTGGCACTGATGGGCATTGATGAGGAGGCACTAGTAGGTGGCACTGATGGGCATTGACAGGCATCGCTGATGGGCACTGAAAGGCAGTACTCATATATGGCACTGATAGGCTGCACTGATAGGTGGCACTGAATGGCACTGATAGGCGGCACTGACTGTCACTGTTAGGTGGCACTGACTGGCACTGTTCGGCTGCACTGATGCACACTAATAGGTGGCACTGACTGGCATTGACTGGCACTGATAGGTGGCACTGATTGGCAGCACTGATAGGTGGCTCTGACTGGCATTGATAGGTGGCACTAACTGGCACTGATAGGTGACACTGAAAGGCAGCTCAGATGGGCACTGATATGTGGCATTGATGTGCACTGGTAGGCACTGACATGTGGCATTGATGTGGCACTGATGGGCACTGGCAGGTGGCATTGATGAGTACTAACAGCTGGCATTGATGGGCACTGAGAGGTGGCACTGCTGGGGCTACACTGATCATCAGGGCACACTGACCATCAGTGCCCTGATGATCAGTGTACATGTCCCCTCCGAGGAATGCCGATTACTAGCTCTCCTCTCAAGCTGTCAGCGTGACAGCTCTCGTGGGGAGAGAAATGTCGATAACCAGCATTTCCCTATTTACATGCGATCAGCTGTGATTGAACACAGCTGATCACATGACCGAGCCAACATCTTCGGCTCTTTCTGTTGATCGGTGATCTGCTGTGTCCAAGGGACAGAACGCACCACCGATTGCTGCGCTGCTCTTTCCCAGATCCACGCATGTGTGATTAGAGTGGGAGAACATCATATGACGTCCTCCCAGAACGAGATAACCGCCTTGCGCCCGTCATTACCTTATATGGCAGACGGGAGGCGGTTAAACATGTCCAGTAAAAAAAATTTAAAAATCAAATTTCGTCATAAATTTAGGACAAAATGTATTCTGCTACATGTCTTTGCTAAAAAAAAAAATCCCTAATCCCTAATAAAAAGCACTGACACTGTATTAATGGCACTGGGCAGGAAGGGGTTACCATGTGGGGCGATCAAAGGGTTAACTGTGTGCTGTGTTAGTGCTTTCAACTGTAATGCACAGCCATACAAAGCAGTGTGCTGGAGCTGACAGGGGAGATAAGTGTATTGTTTACATACAGTTCTTTCCCTCCGTCGGTAATGCTCGGAAATCACCAGGTACCAGCGAGTATTCACTGGCCGGGACCCAGTGATTGACAGCCGAGGCTGCGAATAGTGCCCCCTACCTGGAAATCACACATTGTCATTAATCACCACTGTGTTTTTTTTACTTTTTACTACATAAAGAAAAAAAGACCAAACATTTTGAAAAAAAAAACTTATTTTATTTGGTATCTATTATATAGCTTTGCAAATAAATAATCTTAATATATTTAGGCCAAAATGTAACAGATCAGTGTATATTGTTTAGTCTGTCTGAAAGTTTTAGAATCTACAAACTATGGTTTATATGTTGTGTATTTAAAAAATTGACCAGTGCTGATTAAGTTAGGCATCTAATTTCCTTACTACGGATCACATTTTTTGAGTCCCTAAATTGCCAGGACAGGGGAAACACCAATAAAATTATCCCAGTTTGGAAAGATAACATTCAACAGTATTTTCTGAAAGACATAGTGAGTTTTTTTTTTTTTTTTAGGAAATGTCATTTTTTGCCACACATTTTAGGAAAACTTTAGGGGGAGAGAGAGAGAGGATGAATAAATATATATATAGGCTCCTTCTCCCATTGCTCAGGTTTGCCCTCTTCAGACACAGAAGATCACAGAATCATAGATCAAGGTACAAGGCCGATTAAATTGGCTCTGTACCTGTACACTTTTGAACAAAGGCATCAGCCTCTGCTATGCTTCCTTTCACAGCAGTAAGCTTTTTGTTGTACTGTGTTTCATACAGTGATCATCACTGTAGGAAGCACTCAATATGCAAAAAAAAAAGATCAGTTGCTAGAGCAGTGAAGTGCAGTGTCACTATGGTGAAAACATATTGCTGTGTGAAAGCATACTGATGTCATCAGCGCAACAGTCAGTTTCTCTGATCAATAGACATAGCAATACAATTTCATCATAGTGACACTGTACTGCTCTGTGGGCTATGGGAAGAAATGTTTATAGGCTGGATCTGCAACCTTTTTTTACATGTGTGATCACAGTGACTAGTCAATTTAATTGGCTTAGTACCTCTATCTGTGATCCGCTGTGTCAAGGCCCACAGCAATCACAGAGCACTTTGTGGTGTGCTAGCAGGAAGCCCACCCACATCAAGGAAGCTCCTGTTTGGCCTTTTATATGCAAAGGCCAGAAGGGAAGTGGTTAAACACCAATTGTGCATTGCACATCTCTACACACAGCAGAGGTAAAATAATAATTTTTGTGTTGTTAGTTTAGTCTAATTGTTAATTGATGACCTATAGTGGTTTTAACGCTCCACCTATTAACTATTTTGAGGATCTATGTTTTTCAGTGTAGAAATATTTGTAAGTTTTTAAGATGACACAGTATTTTTATTAATCTCATTTGCAATGGTCCTTCTGTACATTAACGTTGTTAAAGCCTACACAAATTTGGGGTTTCTGTATTCAAAATAAATTGGAAATTAGGGAAAATGGGTGGAATAGTATTTATTATACAAAATATGTTATGCTTTAAAGAAACAAAAACTGCTTTTTTTTTTCATTTTTGCCCATTTATATACATATTTTAAATATATGTATTCTGGATCTTTTTTTTTTTTTTTTTTTTACAAATGAATACGTAAAGGCTCTATATGTGCTGGAAAATGGTGTGAAAATCACTTTGGTGTGCAAAGCAGTTAAAAAGTTTTTTTTGAGTAAACCTGTTCATAGCAAAACTTCAAAATTTGACATGTTCAAAAAGGTTTTAATCCATTAAAAACTTGAAAGGGTTAAAAAGGACAGTGCATTTTTTTTAATTTTCAGGGTTTCTTTTCACTTTTTTTTCCATCTGCCTAATAAAAAAAATCTGAGCATGGTAACTTTAATAAAACTTTGTACCACATAAAATCCTTTAACTCTTTCGCTTCCAGGTCCATACAGTGTAAGAAAAAAAGGGTTGCCATCATAGTTAGGTACAATCACCTGATCATATAAAATCCCCATCTCACTACATGTATAAGGTGTGGATTTTAAACCAAGTAGCATATGAAAAGAAATTAGCAGCTGACTAGAGCAGACCTGCCAAAAAGTGTTTTTTTACAAATCCTATGCGGAGTAATTATCACTAAATTAGTGAATGCAAAATATTACGTATTTAAATCACATAGATCATGAAAAGATTGACATTTAATCATGGTGAACAATATACAATCATAAAAATAAAATAAAAAATAAAAGCAAAAAAAAAACAAAAAAAGGTTCTGCGTTTTCCACTTAGCTGCATGTGTATCTAATAAAGCAGATAAGAAAAGCAAAGACTTCTTCTGTATTCATCAAATGGAGAGTTCAAATAAAGAATCCTGGTATGAGTACAACTTCTTAATGTCAAAGCTAATATCCTTATCAGTTCCTCAATATGGATAATCAAAGCTTGTATAATAAAATCCTAGAAATTTGAATAATAGATGAATAAACATGAATACATGAAGATCTTGAATAGGCTATGTCACTATCATTGATCTCCTGCTACAATAAAGCTTGAATATAAACCAATTAACTGTTGAGATTGCATCTTGTTACCTTCTTTGTAGATGTCCAACATCATGTGAATAATTGACTGTAATTTCACAAAGTGTGGCTAAGACCAGTGGGCCAATGTTCAAAAAATTAAAGTGGTTTGGCTTCTAGAATAAACACAATTTGTTAATCATGTGATTGTAAAAAACATCAATGTAGTGAATTCAAAAAGTGTGTAATTACCATATTAGAAACCAAGATATTCCCACTGATGAATACATTTGCATAAGTATACATATTGCAGTTAACAAAGAGATATAGTCTCCTTTAAATCCAAAAATTGTTATTGGTGATATGAGAGTCTCTATTGTGCATAATAGCATTGAAGCTTTCTTATAATGTGCCCAAAAATGGGTTCCTAAAATTTCTCTTGGTATGAGAGAGCACATGCGTTTCCTTTAGGAATAAATGGGATAAATGTCCCGTATAACGTTAAAATACTGATGAGATAATACTCAATTCACCTGTAAAGGCCCAAAAATTTCTCTCAATGAGAGTACTAGAATACCCAGTTGCGGCATGAGATATAACAATCCCGTATCAAAGATATTAGCAGGATATGACTTAGCTCTATTCAGAGGTACTTTCCACCAGTGGATGTGAACTAAGCCACTTTTGATTTGCAAATTATTTAGTGGTTTTCCGTCTTGCCTCATGTTTATCCAAGATGGAGACGCATTACTTGCTTCTTTCCCCTCATGGACAGTGCAGCATGGAAGGATGCAGAGCGTGATGATGTCAGTATGTTGACGTGTTTCGTCTGCCAATCATAACAGACTTCATCAGAACTGGGAGGGGAAAACTCATCCATTGCCTGATATAGTGCATTAATTGCATACTTTCGTTACTATGTCACCCTCGTGTGTTGAAATGTCATCACTACATTGTCAGTCCAAAAATTAAGTAAAAATACATATGATTGATCAAGAACATCAGAAAAATGGCCAAAAAATTTAAATACATTTCAGATAGTATTTTTGTTTATTCAATACCATCAGCTAACAATATAAATATAGTTTATTTTCATATATTTATTATAACAATTAATTTTTTAGAGATTGTTTAATTTATTTAATCCAAATTGAAATAATCTATTAAGGATTTAATTCAAAAATACTTTAAAATTGAATTCAGTATTTATTCCATGTGGTAATAAAGTACCTAATGTGTATATCCAAAACTTGTAGAATTATTTTCTTTTTGTAGAAGTATTTTTTCAAAATCTCCTCTCCTTGATGAAATATTCATCAGTTTTCCCATGATGTAAATCCTTAAAATGTTGGGCCAATGGATTCTCTCTCTCCTTATCATTTTTATTTCCATTTTCATTTTTAATATCTCTTAAATGTTCTCCAATGCATACTTTTAATGGTCTTTTGGTTTTTCCTATGTAGAAATTTTTACATGGACATTCTATCATATACACCACTTTACTGCTAGAGCAATTTATGAAAATTTTAATTTAGAAAATTTGGTATTCATCTATATTGTGAAATTGACTAGTTTTATGTACAAAAGGAAAAATCTGACAATGGCCACATGGATACATTCCTGTAACTTTATTCATTTTAGTTAGCCAGTTTTCTCTAGGAACCTTTTTGAACTGATTGAACCAGAATATCATTCAAATTTGAAGTTCTTTTTGCAACCATCTGTGGTTTATCCCCTACAATTTGTGCTATCCCTGGATTCATAGTTAATAAATGCCAATGAGAATTTAAAACTTTTTTAACCTCATTCCACTGTTGTCCAAATTTAGTTATGAACCTCACTGGTTCATTTTGTAGTTTATTATCAGTTTTTTTCAAATTAACATTGGAAAGTAAATCCTTTCTAGTTTTACATGAGGCCTTATGTTTTTCTCTTCTCAAAGTTCTATGTGAGTAGCCCCTTTCTCTAAATCTTTGATAAAGTTGTATTGCTTCTGTTTTATATTGTGTTTCATCCATACAGTTTCTTTTAATCCTCAAAAATTGACCTATTGGTATGCCTTGTATCAATGTCTCAGGA